ACAAAACGCTAAATCACCAAGACCTTCGATTGGCCGCTGCGACGGTGATGGAGCGTGAGAAAGAACACACCTGCGAAAGTGCTATATTCCGAATCGCTGCTTTCCGCTGATCCACGTTCATGTACTGGCCAAGAGACGAGCACAGTATTAGGTTTAAGACCACCCAATCCCACTGATTGAATGAGTGTTGACATCGAACCAGCAATCTATAAACCACATGCATAACGGTTAGCAATTGGGAACATAGCAATAGTACCTGGCTTTCTTCGTGAACAAGCACTTTTGCAAAACCGCGCAGCCGGACTTGATTCATGTCGAAGTCCATACGTGACTTGATCTGAGAAAACGAAAAAGTACAATGGATAAAAACACCTTACCAGGAAATGAGTGAGAATAATTTACCTGCTCCGCACGTTTTCTGTCGTCTGGACTGTTGAGGCTTCCTCTCAAGAAAGAAGTAGCAACGGTGAGCCCCTTCCCAGCTTTGAGCTGAGAGGCTAAGTTGAGAAGGTTAAGATATCTCACATCGACCAATTCCTTTGACCAAGGCATCGAAAAAAGTAGGAGAAGTTGGGGGCTGGAAGTATGCACTTCTTTGAGAATACAAAAGAGTTCTCAAAAATATAATTCGAACCGCCAGTTTTTGGGATGAGGGTCCTTGTCTTCTATCTTCATCAGAGAGTATTGGGCAGTTGTAAGAGCTAGACCACGAATACCATCACCCCACTCCTTCTTTGCGCTGAAATTTTCATCATTGAGACGCACCCGGGTCGTTGCATAGATTAAACGCTGACGTACCCCTTCCATTCGACGTATTTGTAAATCAAAACGCAGAGGAATATGGAGACAAGGGCGTAGTCCCAATGAGTCGAGAACATTATGAAGAAGCAAAGAGCAGCACCAAGAAGTGACAAAGACCTGAATCAATACAAAATATTTTATTTATGTTGAGGGAAAGCCAAGAAAGTTACACTGCTAATAGTTTTCAGGTAAGTAAGTTCTGAGGCATAATATTCCTGGAATGATCCTCGACGGGCAAAAGCACGTCCTCAACCAGTGCCTTCATGCCTTTCTCAGAATACGAAGCCGTTGACATTGCCAACGAACTCAAGGAGGCAAATACCAACTGCTTCGGTCTGAACCTGACTTTTTCTTGCACGCCCCCTGCAAAGGATTCTAGACTCGGATTTTGCAGGCTGACATGGTTCTGATGACCCATATCACCCCCATTTCAGACGTCTTCCCTGTGGCACATGACTCGATTTATGACTTATGCACTGCTGTCTCGAAGGTCGACCAGCCAGTGAGTGGCATCATAATCGTCAGGCAGTCCCTCCGTGCAGACGGTTGCCACGAGGTCACTTATACTATGGTGTACCGTTCCATTTCCAGTAGGAAGAAAGTAGTCAACGGAAGAAGGTGGCTACAACTAATAAAATTATGTCCAAGCCAATGTGGAAATGGAGGGGGAATAGTGACTCTCTTTCAAGACCCCACACCTGTACATATCTTATACAATTGAGTCCAATGGGCGAATGGTACTTTATATAAAAACTAAGATCAAAAAGCATTGGGAAAGTGTACCCACCAGTGATAATATTTGAATCTTGGACGCCAGTTCGGTGCACCGAGAAGAGAGTGGAGCGTGCAGATGATGTTCACAAAAGCGTAGCACATCAAGAAGAAGAAGTCTACAACCGCAGCAATACTATCCATAGCACCCATAAGGATAGCCAATTCTGCTATTACTGTTGTGATAATGAGACTGAAATGTATGATTATAAATACGGTAGAAACAACGTGAAAAATCAAAAAGGTTAACTGACCCCAGGAAAGGTTCATTGTTTTTCGTGACTTTCTTGAAGGGCCTAAGGATGGGAATGACGTCATCCTTCGCGATGCTCTGAAGAAGACGAGGAGCTGAGCAAAGACATTGCAGAGCAGCCCCAAACGTGGACAAGAAAGAACCGATCAGAAGAACCCAAGCGCTAGGCCAAGATAAAGATGCCACTACCATTGAGCCTCCCATTGACTGACCATTTCTAAACATATGAATTTTTACAAAATTCGTACTTCCAAAAAACGAAAATGTACAAGAAAGACTTCGGGTTTATTCACTTGTCTCTCAGTACACTGCCATCAATTGTCGCTCCAAAGACGAAAGCCAATGAGAAGTAAATGAACGACGTCGTTAAAGTAGCAGCAATCGTGCCTTTGGGAATTGATTGTTGTGGATTCTTCAAATCTCCTGAAATAAAGAGGAGCGGAGTAGGAAGCAGAATCCGGACAGTAGCCTTGGAAAAATCGTTACTTTTCGGAATTGTTGTTTTAGTGTTTTTGAAATTGCAAAACCTACCGCTCATATTAGCACCAGTGAAAATCCCAGTGACAGCTGGGAAGTAGATAGCCAGAAGCACCCAGAATGATGTGTTTACATCCTGAACAAAACAGTCCTGGAGTTTATTTCACGATGAAAACGGGCGATCTAATAATAGGCATACTTGGAACACATCACGATTGACATCTGCTTTATCTTCGACTGTTGTATGAAATTGGTTAATGTACTGCGATCCAAGATTATCTGAAAACATAAGTATTGGAAAAACAGAACACACACGTAAGACGCAGGAATCAGGTAAAAGTTCAAAATATTCTCATTTCTCACCCATGAAAGCGCTGCTCTTAAAGCCAGGGAAGCCGTTTATACACGAAATCGTTTTTGAAAGCACGTCAGCTGGGCACACTCCATTAGGACAAAGGTTATCCATCAAAAACGTATTACTGTAAAATTGTCGTTAACAGTACATAGTCAACATACTGTTTTGCTTATCAAGAAACCAATTAAAAAAAGAAAATGGAGTTTCAGAAAGGCAGCATTCAGGAATAGACAAATAGTGACAGATTTCAAAAAGGAACAACAAAAACACTCACTTAGGTGTGCAGTAATCGCACATATCGTATATGGATCCATTATCTCTAGGAATAAAGAACTTCGACTGCAGTAGATGATCACCATACATACACACTCTTAAAGAAGGACTCATGGAGAAATTATTCACCGAAAGAAAACTGTCTAAAGAAATTGGCGAAACTGAAGATGTGGCTAACCAAGCTTAAGAGTATGAAATTTTCCAAACTAAACTTTTCTTGTCATCAAAGGTCTTTGCTCCCTCCATGGCAACGAGGGCCCAGTGGCTCCTCTACACCAGTATACTAAACTTGAAAGCAGACGAGGTTTCAGACCAAGCAGATAGAGAGTCAATTACCAAAAGGATCTCTTGAGTCCGCAGCGATGAAAATGCTGGCTACGTCGTGTTTGCGAACTCTTAATTCAAAGTGTTGTTGTGATGAGAAAAGCCGTGGCAGAAGAGATGTTATCGAATCAGACGACTACTCTGTTTAGAACAGGAAAGGACATTATCCGCGAAACTGGCCACCAGCTGATCGATATATCTTGGCTACTTCATCCCAGCATTCAGCACATTTGCATGAACTGTCGTACAGGTCGTATAGATACGCCGACTCAATGGCGCACGAACCTCGGGCCTTGGCAGTTCCGTGACTATCTGGGTCCGCCAGATCGTTGCAAGTCCTCATGCTTCTACCTCGAGGTCTCAAGAAGATTAGAGTGCAAGTGGTACTCTAGCAGCGAGTTCCTCATTTCCGCACAAAGTGAATGGCGATACCTTTCAATTTCTCTAATTCTTTTTTACTTGCTGGTCTAAGATGCATAGCACGGTATCCTTCAGAAAAGGCGGAGATGAACGCAGCATTCAAGCCGGGCATCTGATCGCCATGGCCGGCGGCCTGCTCGCCCTGTGTTTGTCTGTGCGTGCTACCAGCGTCGGGGAGTACTCCATGACAGAATATTCGAGCTCGCCTGTAGGCCAGGACGACGGTATCGCTGCTGGCGGTGCTGCGCGAGGTCCGATAGACTGCGAAGTTCAAAATCCCATTGATTAGCGAAAAGGAGCTGAACACCGTAAATCGGCTCGCGCGGTCTCATCGAAATAAAGAACAATAGGCTTAACAGTCACTCTACGTTCACATTTCTTGAATCGGCAATCGAACCATAAGGTGTAAATTTAGATTGCAACCAATCCCGCATATCACATAGATTGGAAACACAGCGTCGAGACACCACAGTAGAAGATACCCCCGTACTACAGTCATGTATACGCTGCAAGAAAAAAGAGGATAGTACGGAACTTTCGAAATACTCACGGACACTGTTCATGATAGTAAGCTGTAGGCAGAAACAGCATAGAAGTGGAGGGCATTGCAAATATGACTCGCACTGTGAGCCAACCTATTGCCATGATGTTGTGAAACTATCTCACTCTCTGCAGCATCAGGATCACGTCTTCTCAATGCCTCCAGCATAGCAAGCCAGAATCGAGAGAATTACACAAACAAGGGAGACCTTAAAACGAGCGCTAAACAAATTGAAAAAAAAAGAAGAAATGTTCGATAACACGTACCGGTGCGAGCATTTGCACAAATTTAACGCCCATGGCCACAATAAGGAACTCGAGCAAAAGCAAAATAGTTGAATAGAAGCGGAGATTGTTGGTCATCATACCAAATGTGCCTGAATATGATAACTAATAGTAGAATTTCGCTCTCATTGCAAAGCTAAACTTCATTACCAACCGGTCTGTGAGTGCACTTCGGATCCACCGATAGTTAAACCAGGGAATATATACAACTAAATTTGACAGATTGATTCGTACAGGACAAAGTGAGCAGATTTTGAATTCCATAAGATCAAGTGAAAATATGCTTACAAGAAGTATTTCCACACCACCAACAAGATACATCGATGTGGCCACTGTATTTGCGAGGATAGAACAGTAAGCCAACAGCTGAACCAAATTCAGGACCGAGATTTCTTGATATCATAAAATATGCTCCTCCACTTTCTACAACGCCGTTCGTTGCCACCGCAGAAATGGAGATGCACGTAAGGAAAGTCTGCAGAAATTCACGAAAATATTAGCAGGTGAGGAACCGGAAGAATTTGAAAATCAATGCACGGCCTTTTTCGCAGTGTAGAGGCTCCAATCGCACTTCTTTCAACTTACACAGAGACAGCATAGCAGTAGAAGAAGAAATGTTTGTCCGAGCCCAGCGATACCAACCACCCAAAACAACCGAATAAACATAGTAACACCAAGTATATGCTGGATTGTGGGCAAGTAGACTCCGAGCATAGTTCCAAGGTCAGCCTGAAAAAGCATGCCTTTGTCAAGTCTTCTAGCAATCGGCTGACAATATTCGTATCGTCCAAAGTTACTGTAGTGTAACATCACAATGAATATCAGGCTACAGAATTCTTGAGTAAAAGTGAACGAGTTGCAGATCAGTCCTACCTTCTTCTTCTGATTCTCGCTTTGCATGCGCTCTAGAGGTCCAGGAGTTGTGTGCGCTTTGAGATAACTGGAGAAGAACGGCATAGATGGCTCTTCAAAAAGAGCCAGATTGTGGTTTCCAGCATCTTTTCCTCCCCACGAGAACAACTCTCCTGAAAAGGCGCTTTCTTACTCCAGCCCTTAAGAAAGAAAATGAAAACAATCTGTTCAAAAATTTTAAGAATAACAAACTTATTTTGAAACACTTTTAAAACATACGATGACTGCTGTTTCTCGATAGAGACGAGTCACTTGGGTGCGTATGGTGGGGTTCAATATTAAGTGTGAACCGTGATCCATGTTTATTAGGAAAAGCTGCAGCAGTACTGGTTGTGGCAGCAGTACTGGTAGTAACAGTAGGAGCGGCAGAAGGAGCGGCAGCAGCAGCGGAAGGAAGCAGCTCGCTATCTTCACTTTTATGTACTGCCGGTCCGTTTCGTCGCTTATCAACACCGTTAATCATGTTGCATTAGTAAGTTAGGCAGTTACTGTCGTCGTTCTGAACACATTCAATCACAGCGGAAAACGTGGATCTTGAATACGCACGTTCATCAGCCGAGAGGGAGAAAAACAGTGAGAAGGAAGAATCAGCTAATAAGAAGCCTGTTGACAGAGCCTCCTCGATCAGCCCACAAAGAGGATTTGCCCATGGATACCATTAAGAAGATTGCTTGTTTTTCCAGATCTATTTCACGAAGCAGCAGACTTAAAGGGATGGGAAATCACCTATGCATAGAATTGAAGAAACGTGAAACAAATTGAGATACAAACTGACTGGGGGTCGGTTTTATAACGGAAAAATAAAAGACGTAGAACTGGTGGTGGCTGCACTTTTTACATACACGAAAGAATCGGTATATTGCTTTCATATTACGTAACGTACTTCGTAGATAGAAAATAAAAACCCTGATCTGTTCAGTTTTTTCTACAATACTTAAATTGTATGGTGAACTGTTTATAACTCAAACTATTTGCTGAAATAGAGAATTCGAGCAGTGAAAAATTACAATGTTGTTTCCGCAATCTGCACTCCCTTACCTAAACGCTATTAAAAGCTCGATATTGCCATTAGAAGAAAGGATGAAGAACCAATAAAACAATAATAAACTCGACTCTATACAGGTTCTACTTCTAAAAAGGAAGTTACGCCATGGAATCGCACAGCTGCTCCTGATTACCTGTATTTTCAGTTTTTTTTTTTTTTTTCGAGATAGAAGCCTCTGGAAGATGTGATAAACGAAATGTGCCCTCCCTTCGTTTTCGAAAGTCAATGAACACAACATTATGAAAAACAAAACCGACTCAGGCGACACTAATATCTCAGTACCAGCTACTAGTACAAAAGAAGTAAAGGTACACCAAAAAAGCGATATTGTGGAATAAACAGTTCCATGAAGGACAAAAAAAAGCAACTACGATAACCATCAAAAAATATTGAAATCAGAAAGAAAGAATTAAGTATGCCGCTGCGTCATCTCATGCTCCAAGGAAAGGGCTGATTGATGATGTTTGCTTACGAGTCACTGATAAGTATGCGGCGGAAGACGACTTCAGACTGTCTCGCGTCGCAAATGCCTCGTGGTAGCCCTGACCAATAAAGTAGAAATATTTTCCCCACCCATTTATGTCATCTCCAGTGCTCACACTTACGTTGTGGGGGGGGGGGCACGCGGCGGCGCGGCAGTCTGCTCACCTGGGCTCTCTCGAGCGAGACAGTGTAAACTCGAACATTCCAGCTTTTCACGCATGTCAAGTGACTGCCCCCACCCCCCCCCCCTAGACTGCCTACACTCCCCCTGGCCCACGGATTTCCGAACATGCCAGGCGAGCAGACTGCCGCGCCGCCGCGTGCCCCCCCCAACTAAGTTAGCACCCCATCCTATACTTCACTGGCTCATTT